AAATTAAAATTAAAATTAAAATTGCCTGGTGCAATTTTCGTTCCTCCTGAATTTCAACAGTAAGGGTTAAGACATAAATCCCCTCCTGTGGCCTAACTGTTGCTCTGGGTGGGGCTGCGGGGGAGGGCCGATGCTGGATTTCCCTGCAGAACACGGATGCCGGTACCAGCTCCACCTCCGCGCTGTGGAGCCCTGTGCCTGGAATCAGCCCCTTGGTCACCGATCCCCTTCTTGTCACACACTTTCTTAGGCTCAGCCATGGAGATTTAGAAAACCAACACATGATTTTGGATAAAATCTGCCATTCTGACAATGCGTAGGGAGTAGGGGGTCTCAAAAATACGATTGAGGAGCTTATGCCTGAAGATGCTTGTGGGTATCCAGGAGGATTTGCAGATGTCTGATGGCTTATGGCAGCAGGGACATCCCCTGCTCCATGCCTCTCTCCTCCTCCCCCAAAATAGGTACAACTAGAAAAATCAGTAATAGGAAGTGAGGGTAAATAATGCTTTGAGACAGCCGGATTGGCTGGTCTTTCCCACGGGTCCGATGAAGGGAGCAGGAGGTACGAGGGACCCGAGGAAGACTGTGGTGCTGCCTTCCTCGCAGGAGGCGATGGAGGAGGGCTGGTGGGGCAGCTGCCAGGCTGCATGCTCTGCACGGCCCTGGCCCACCACGTCATGAATCGACCCCGTTACCGAAGCAATGACTTTGATTTGAAACGACCCAGGTGTGTCCTGGAAAGGGACGGCAGCTCACCCCACTGCAACGCCCCGCGCGCGGTGTGCAGATAGGTACCACTGCTTCCAGCAGCCGGCAGTGCCCGGGGCTCCAACCCTCCACGTGGACAGGGTCCTGCCAGCCAGCCCAGAGGCTCTATTTTTTCGGGAGGTAGTAGGGAGAGGAGTGGCTGAAGCCCCTCTCCCCTGGTTGACATCCTGTGTGCGTTTTGCTCTGAAATCCAGGCCTTTTCATGGGTTTTATCATCTACACAGACCTGATGGAAACACCATCAGCTCCATAAAGACATCTTGGCCTTAAAAGGTGGTGAAGAACATCACAAAGCTTTGGGAGATTCCGGTGGGGGTGTGCTTGTGAGTGGAATAATAGGGAAATGCTGTTGTTGATAGAGCTGTCTTCTGACAGAGAGCAGGAGAGTCCGCACTTTGTTCATCTCCACATTTTATAGTCTGCATGTAAAATGCAGAGTCTTCCCTACTGCACTAAGCAAAGATTTAATGCCAGTGAGCAGCAGCGAGGTATTCGAGTACTAAACTTCATTAATTTTACAAAATATGCTACAGAACATTTCCCAGCTCACTAGAAAGTATTACCATAAATAATTGAATCCAAACTGAGTGCATTTGTGATGGTTTATCCTTGCCTTTGTACAAGGTTTGCTCATTTAGTTTCTGATTTGGAAAATTCCCCCGTTTAGAGTGGATCTTTCATCGTGAGCAGGAATTAGTGAGGTTGGAAGTGCCCAGATGAAGTGGCTGTACACAGTTTCGTGCATTGAGGCACAACTGAGAGCATCCCGTCTGTTAGCCTAAAGGGGAGTGGGAAGAGGGGAGAAAACTTGAATGATGGTACCCAAAAAGAACCTAATCTGTGCCCTGCAAATGAGGGGAAGGACACAGAATGATAAATCCAGTTCAGTGTTATCACCAAAACACCTAAATTCTAGGAGACAAATGTAAACAAACCCCTACAGCTTTGGTTTGAACAGACTTGTACTCAGAAGACAGGGCAGAAAAAACGAGTGAGGTGCCTCGAGGAATTAAAGATTTACGTGTGATTGTGAACCACGCTGCACCCTAGATACGGGTGAGCTAGTTCCCTTGGAGAAAGTGACTCCAGAACGCTGGTATTCAGTCAGGAAGAGCAAGTGCAAGGAGAAGGCTGTCAGGTGAGGGAGACAGGGGACTGTGTAAGTAGTGTGCGACGGCAAAAAGCAGTAAAACTGCATGCTGCAATTGCTTGTGGGAAGTGATAGTCATACACCGAGCAGGAAGGGAGAAACGCTGCCCGTGCCTTCGCTAGCAATCTAGGGCAGCTTGGGCTTAAGGCCAGAGAGAGCTAGGAAAATTGGATGGAAGTCAGTAAGTACAGAATCATTAGGAACGGGGAGAGGATGGGCTAAGAAACATTTACAACTCTCTCTAACATGGCTGATTTATAAATCAATGAGTGTCCGCTCACCGGATCCTAGAATTTGAGAGGCATAGGGGAAGAAGTGTCATTTAATGGCGTTTTAACTAGCACTGATAGACTGGGGTAGAAACCCCTACAGCAGTTCTCTTATTAGATGGAGAAGGACAGAGAGAGACAGCCTTGTTGGTTTTTCAGAAGCTGCCTGGGTGACAAACACAACAGGAAACGTAGGACTGGGAGGTTTTGCCCCAGCTAACCCAGTGCCAAGACGTGTGGGAAGCTAAAGGAGTATCAGTGTCAGACATGAAGTAAAAATCCTAACCCAGACAGCAAGGCGGGATTGCCTGCGTGCTGGGGGGGTTGGTACGACACCCTCTTTTTGGGAATCTGGGAGTCTACAGCTGAGCTACATCACAACAGAAAATAATCCTTTTACCTTCCAGCCAGTTGCTGATTTTGCTCCTCAGAGTGCTGCTTTAATTGCAATTAAGCTGAATGCAGTTTTGAGGTTGAAATGGGCAATTACACGATCCAGAGACTTCCCGATTACACCTAAAACTGCGCTGATGAATCAACCCCAGCAAGGTGGGCCTTCCCTCTGTCACTGCTTTGCCTAAGTGCTGTTGGTCGCTGGGGCCGTTTGGGCTCACCCCGCGCCCTCACCCTGCTCACGGCAAGGTGCCGCGGAGCAGCCCACGGGTGACTTGGGACGGCGCTTGCCAAGTGGCGCAGAGCACACGGGGGAAAGCAGTACAGACAGGGAGGTGACGCGAACCAGGCCGTCTCCTTCCACAAGTGCAACCTGGAGAGACAGCGGGGCTGCAGCCCCACGAAGGCGTGCGGATGCCACAGCAACGCGGAGCGTGCGCTTAGGTGACAAACGCCAGGGACGAGCAGGGGCAGGAGGTGGTGGTGCTGCTGACAGTGAAACGAGAACAAGCCAGCTTCGGGAGCGGAGCTGCCGGCAGCTCGTGTGTCTCTCGTCATGGGAGATGGGCCCCGTCCCCAGCGGAGACTGAAGTATTTCTCGGTGCACTAAGCACTCTGCAGTACTGATCTATATCCATCTGGGTTCATTGCTATAATCGACTCTAATAATTATCTGGAAGTCTCTGCTTAATCTGTCTGGTTTTAGAATTATTTTTTTCCAGGAAGCTGCGATAAACCCATGAAATTCGATATTTCTGCTGTGACAAAGGCATGAAATGCATGAGCTTTGATCGTGAATTGCATGGGCCCTCTGCTTACAATACGGCACTCCAGCCAGATGTCACAGAGCTTGTTTTAGCAACAGAAAATTCAATCCTGACTACTACAGGAGCGTTTCACCTGTTTCTAGAGTGCCCTGAGTTTTCTGCATGGGGCCCAGGCAGTGGGATTTGCAGAGGGAATCAAGTGTTTTCCCAGCTGATCCCCTAAGCAGCGATGCCTGTTTTGAGGGGGGACTAATTTCTCTGCTCAGCACCTCTGGAAATCGGGATCCACGTGCCATAACCCTCCAAGCTTCTTTAGCGTTCTGTCCACAGCATCTAAAGTGACTTTTATCATCAAGTCCCAGACAGGGTCCTTCTTTTGGGTTGTCTGCAGAGACTTCAGGAAGGCCCACGCAAGGGTCTCCAGCAGAGCCCAGACCAATCCTCCTATCCGAGTTCCCTCAGGCAGGCAGACAACAGTCATAGGCTAATGGCTCAGCAAGTTATTTATTTCCCTGAAAGAAATAAATGTCTGTACAGACTGTGCCCAGCCCAGCAATTGTAAGTGCACTGCTGGCACAGAAGGGAGCTGTGCTCTGAAAAGGCTGGGAGCTTGCTATTATCTCCAGTGAAAGCTCGATGTTCCAGTACTTCAAGCAAATCAAACAATACTCAGAAGCTACCAAGCCTCCTTCCCTGCCTGCTCTCCCAGCAAACCACGTGCCTGCTTTTCAGAGCACAATAGCTGTCTCCAAACTATTACTTCTGAGCCAAGAGCAGGGGATGAGGCAGCGCTTGGAAATGGCTTTCACACCCTCCCTGTTCCTCGGCTTTGAGACTATCCTGATGGTTTTATTTATTGGGGAGTTCAGGCAGCGTTGAAGGGACCTTGGTGCTGGCACATCCACGCCAGAGCTTGTAGGGCACAAGGGGAAAGACCCGTGCAGATGTCTGTGGCCTTTTCCTGCAAGGTGCTGGGGGCTGGAGCACTGTGTGGCTGCTGGGAGGATGAGGCTTTGTACACCATCACGGTGAAACCCCAGGACCCATACGGGATCCATTGCCCGAAACAACAGTGGGAGGATGTGGCCTCAGTGACCAGCAATCACTTCAGGAAGAGAAGGCTGTTGGACATGGCCACCTTCAAACCTCCTGGGACTCTGCTCGGGCTGGGCTTCCCTGGCCTGCTCTAGAAGGAAACTCCTCCATTGATAACGGGATGGAAACACACAAACCAGAAACCTCTTCATGCCCAGTGAAGAATTTATCTGCCACTTTTAAGCTACCTGCTTCCATAGCATCACTTCAGTGAGCCTACCGAGGAGACCTTGAACTTCACTGACTATAATTATCCGACCAGCTTGCTGTACATTTTAGGACGGATTCTCAGCTGTTGTAGACTGTCACAGTTCAGATAACAGAAAGTGCGTTAGCAATGTGGTATTTTGTCTACTGGCCTGCAGTGGTTAATCCCACACTCTCTGCTGGGGTAGTCGTTGTCCCACTCAGTGCTTCCTGGAGGGTTTGATGCACCAGGCGAACGGGGTCCAACACTGTTTTGAAACTCGGACGAAATATGTGAGAAGTCCTGCAGGGTGGAAAGGGAAGGCAGGGTTACAGGAGCACACACAGCAGGAGAAACAGCACATCTAGTAATGTGGGATAAACGTGTTTACATGCATTGCCCCAAACCACGGCAGCGCAGGGGCAGCCCCAGGAACTGCAGCAGGTCCAAGCCCAGGACCCGAAACCACCATGGTGGGACCTGGCAGAATGTGAGTTGTTGCAGGCAGGTGTCAGTGCAGCAACATCTGTTTTACATCCCCCTTCCCCCCTCTTATTTTTCAGGACCTGCCTCCTCCCCGTGGTAGTGAACGGCTGCAGAAGACAGGATTGCCAGCCTCTGCATCGGCAGCCTGGCAATCAAACCCGTTTTTTCCACTTCAGGTGCAGCCCCCTTTGCAGTAATGTGTTAGCCCACCACCATGTACAGAAACAAGGTAAGGAACATCCACACAAGCATCTCCATCAGCTGTCACCACCAGCAATTTAACAAGGATGCTGCGGGACTGTTTTATCTGAAAGCTGATTAGCTTTCCTGATTTTTTTGTTGCCTTAGTTATATAACACCAGGCCATTTATATGTATATATAGCCAAGAGTCATGGTAGCTGCCTGACCAAGGGCATGATTTTGTCCAACATATCCAAATTAGGGCAGTGTGGGGTATTATTTTTTTTCAACTTTTTATTTTTTATTCATGAATTTATGTGGAATGAATCTTAACAAAATGCTGCCCTCAGCAACAACAGCTACCCCAATTAAAGTGATTATGAGGATCCCCTGTTACGCTCCTTTCTGGATGTAGGCTACCACTGAATTACAGAAGCCACTTTGGCTCATGTAGAGCTAAAGCCCAATCGCTGTGCTGGAGAAGGTACCTGAACAGGTTGGAAGTTAAAACCTGCTTAAGGATCTGACCTTCCCACACGTGCTGTCTCTTTATTATGGTCAGGTGTAACTGTGCTTCCACATCCCTGCTTTCCTTTGGTTTCCTTCCACTGTGATATTTGTTCCTAAATTCAGAATTTCTGTTTTCTCAAAGCCCCAAAGCGCATGGGTCACGTTATGGGAAGGCAAGCTTTGTTCGTTGCTGAAGTACCGTGCGAATTTTGTGGCATACAGCTAGCAGACACGTGAAACACAAATTATTCAGCCAGCTGGGTGAATGCTGCAGTTAAAAGTATCATCAAGTAAATGGCAGCAGCTGTGAATTCAGAGCATATGTCCTTCACCGTGAATAGTTCGTCCAGTTCCTATTCCAGATGGAGAAACTCTGAAAACCTCCTTCATATACTGGCAAGTTCTCGGTAAGGTATAGGAAATGGTTTTTTGTGGTTCTCCCCAGATGCATTTTCTTCCGAGCAGGTTTAAGGAGGAGAGACTGCTGTGCCGAGGCGGGCACGGCTGCGGATGGCTTCCTTCAGCAGGTTTACACACCGGGAGCACACGCCCATGGGACCTGCTTTGCTGCCGCGCCGTGAGCGTCGGCACGCGCAGGCAGGCATGCAAGCAGACATCGCGTGCTCTCGCCGCTCTGCCACGCAAGTCAGTTTCTCCTACTGCCAAGCAGTTTTCGGAAAAATATTGATTTTCTATTTTGTTTGTGACATTCCCTCTATCCTGTTTCTCTTCCTCCTGGCAACCCCTCTGGATCCCTGCTATTATCCCACGCCCTTCCAGCACTCCCTTTTCCTAGCAATGTCACAAGAGGGGCTTCTCACTCTCAACCCATCGTTTCAGAGGACTGGTGCCAACTCCCCCCCAGACAAGCCTGGGGGACCATGTGCACACGGAGCTTTTACCAGAGGCACCCCAGCTCCTGTATCTTCCCCGCTGAAAGAGCCTTCATTGCTCCACTGCACACACCTGCCCCATTTCAGGGGGTGCTCGTGCTCCCAGGCAGCTCAGCACTCGTGAAAACGTCACCCCCAAACAACGAGACTTGCAAACTGATGGAGCCAGACTTCTCTGGGGACAACACCGACACCCAACATTCATCCAGACACCCAAAGCATCCAGAAACCAACAGACCCAAGGGGAAGAGGGGAGATGGTGCGGTTCGTGCAGCAAACCCTCTGAGCACCCACCTGCTGCCCGGGAGGCGAGGCGTTCATGGGGGGCTGTACCTGTAGTGCCATGGGGGGGGACAGGAGGGGCTGCTGGGGGACCTGCTGCATGCTGAGGGGCTGGCTGAGGAGGGAGCTCTGCGGGTGGTGCAAGGAGAGCTGCTGGTGGAGCGGGGGGCTGATCTGGAAGGAGGGCGGCGGGGAGGCACTGATGCTGGGCAGCATGGGTTTGGAGGTGAGGGTCCTGGAGAGGCTGGGGTGGGGGTGGCCGCGGTAGTTCTGCAGGTCCGACGGGGACAAGAAGGAGCCCAGGCCGGGGTAGGGCGAGGAAGCCTGCGGTGGCATCGGGTACATGGGCTGCTTGGGGGGGATCATTTTGGAAGGTGGATTGCTCTGGGCACTTTTCGTCTCCCCCTGGTCAGCAGAGCTCTGTGGGAAAACAGAATGGAGGGTGATGAGGGAGGAAGGGAGGAAACATCATTATCAGTCCCCAGTCGTCTGTCCGACCCAGACTCCCCATGGCTCCTGCTGCTCTCCCACCAGTCAGCACACGCATTTCCAGCCCCACGGCTCGCCGGGTGACCGCAGCCTGGGTGCAGGATCTGCATCTGGGAAAGCAAAGCCCAGTAACTCAACCGCAGAGCCCGGAACACCGGAGAGGTGTTAACTGGCGTGTGGCGAACCGCCCGCCTGCGGCTCACTCCTCAGGTCTGCACAGGTGGGTGACAAAATCCCTTTTGCTTCCAACAGAGAATGAACGGGACTGTACAAACTCTGCTTTCCTAATCTTGTGCGTTCCTGCAGCCTGGTGGGGTCTGTCATGCACAGGGCAACGGTGGCCTCATGTCTGCAGCAAAAAGAGAAGAACAACGGGACGTTTTCTGGCTCGGACAACAAGGGTTTTGTCCTGCGATGGGCTCTGTAATGATACTCCAGACCCTTTCTCACCCACCAGCCAGGATCACACTGTGCTGTTCTACTCAAAGTTGCTCTTCTGTGAAGAACTGCTCACTGGAGAAACTGGAAAAAAATGAAACTATGGAGTCTGGTGACTCCGTGCTACCTGCCCCCAGTGCTGCTAGGCACAGGCCAGGCAAGACCCTCAGAGGTTTCCAGCGCAACTAAAAAGAGCTTTTAATCCTCAAACAGTCCTTTCCATCCTTTTTTCCATCCTTGCTGCTCTTCTGTTTACAAGTTAAGACAGCTTGCCGTGCTCATGTCAGTACAGGAACTTTGAGCCTTTCCAGCCCACCACCACAATCCCATGGATCCCACAGATGACGGTTGCTTTGGGACACCACATTATTCCCCACAGCAGCTGAATGTGATGATTAAGTACTGAGGGTGTGGTACAGTACGAAGGGGAAGCTTAGAAAGGAAAACAGCCTGACACACATACTCACAACCCAAGGGCAGCACATCCCCCTGAGCCTGCCAGCCCACAAGCTCCGCAGGAGCCACCCCAAATTCACAGGCAGCAAATGCCCGTGTCCCCTCTGAAGGCAGGGAGGAGGGCAAGGTGCCAGGTCCCCTGGGATGGGCATCCACGTTTGGAGGATTAGGATGGGCGGGCACTTGGCCCATTGTCACTGCCCCAGGTGTAGCCTTGCAGCACCAGGAGTTCCCACATGAACCTGAAATCCCCATAAAGTTTGCTATTAGGTGCCGAAATGGGCTCTCTGGGCTTGCCTGACAGCAGGGCGTTAAGCATGTATGTGCTCACGTGCTCATCAACCCGCAATTACGGGTCTCATCCCCTAAAACCCCTGCTCTTGGCTGAGCACGCATGGGAGAAGCAGGAACCAGGGTCCAGAAGAGCCCAAGTGCCCGGAGCAGGGTACAGGCAGGATGCTGACACCTGGCTGCTGCCCAGCACTGGCCAGGGAGCCTAGGGCTGGGGTGTCACCTTCCCCTGGGGCCAGTCCCCAGTGTCATCCACAGCGAGCCTCCTCCTGCCCTCGCCAGCACTCCCTTGTTTGCTGCACTCCCAGCTCAAGAGCTGGGCGAGGAACAGCCACGGGTGGGGGGCACAGGCAGCAGGGACCCCGTCGTCCCCAAGCAGGGATCCTCCTCCCCCGCTGTGACACCTGCTGATGAAGACAACCCAAAGCGGGGTCTGTTTTTGGGGTGCTACAGGCAGAAGGCAGCCTGGTGCCCCCCCTAACCGCATCTCTTTTAGCTCCTCAAGAAGGTGGCTAACCCTGGAATCAGTTCTGGGAGCAGGATCACGCTGTATGGCTCATGAACGTGCTCCTGCCCCGAGTGTCCCATGAGCTGCGACTCCTTCACTGCCACGTCCCGTGACGCTGCACGCGCGGGCTGTACCTTGGAGACGAGGCTGGCCCGGTACGCTGCCAGGGCTTTCAGGTACTCCTTCTTCGCGGCCTCCGTTTTCCTCTTGTACGCCTGAAAGGACCACAGAGCGGATAATAATTAATAAAGCACAACAAGGCACTGCTGGGCTCGGCTGCACCCTGCAAAAACAAGTGCATGAAAAACTGATTTCTGCTGGAGTGGGGTTTACCCCAAATCAAGCAAATAAAGCCCCTGGATTGGACCATGCTGGGATTTCTGGAGGTGTTGCAGGCCAGAGCCATCCGCGTGCCCGGGCAGACATTCATCCACATCTGCTGTAAGAGACATGGCCTGACTTCATAGGGTGAACCCAGAGAAATCAATTCCCAACAGGAACTGGGGGAAAGTGTGATCCAGGCTCTTGGAAGGCAAGAGCCCAAATTCCCACACGACCAGACTAGCTTAAAAAGTGGTGAGACATTCAGAAATTCTACTCATTCATTTTCTTGGCTTTCCTGTTATTAAGCCTTTAGAGCTCAAAACTCCAGCTCTTCTCTGCAGTCCTGACAGCCGGGAAGTGCTTTCTCATCACATAAAAGGTCAGATTTTTGCCTGATCTTGGGAGCTGGGGCTTGATGGGAAACACCAAGTATCAGGAGAGTTTGCTACCCCAAGAAAAAAATAAAATACAGCTTTGTAAGAGTGAATTATTGTTCATTCTTCCCTCTCTCCCTTGTAATGAGACATGTTTTGTGACCATTTCACAGTGTTGGTTCCCTTTCTTCCCGGAGTTTCATCCTCCACATACGTAAAAATAACAGTGTAATCCAGCCTGTCTCAAGCAGTGTGAGTCCCCATGGGGTAAAATGGATTAAACTGAGCAAGCAAGAAGAATATTTTAAAACAGAATCAAAATTTCTGCAAAAAGGCAGAAAATCCCAAGAAAAATGCTCATCAGTCCTCTCCTCCGCTAGAAACTCGAAGCTGTCCTCAAACGGTGCACTGGAAGTTGATTCAATTAAACAGATTTGCATACAATTAGTTCTGCTTTAAAAACAATGACAGCTTTCAACGCGAGAGACACTGGAGCCTAGTGGGGATATTTAGGGGATTTCCCCTGCAAAATTCCACGGCCATGGCAGCACCCCAGACCCCGTTCCAACACTGGCCTCCGAAGGGACGATGACCTTCCAGCCGTTAAACTGTCCAGCTATTAGAATTTCACTTTAAAATCACTATAGATAAATCCTATTAAAAATGGTTTGAAACCCTTCTTTTCACTGCTAAATCAGAGAGATTCCTGTAATGAAATGTCTTGACTTGACACGCTGGAGGTCTCAGATGGTAATTTTCTGAAACAGAGCGTTTTCCTAAGTTTGTTTTTGGCTTTATGGTATTCAGGAAGTATTATATTTGCTCCATTCAGAACAAAATTACATCTCAAAATGTCAGCCTGAAGAAGAGTTTGCCTGCGAAAAGCAACTATTTCTTCGAAGTGTATCAGTTCCCCTAACAAAAGCTATTTCCTTTCTCTGCCATCCTCGCCTCACCTACGTCCGCAGCCGCCGCGGCGTTCCTGTGAGGCAGAAATGCGGGGTGTCCGCCAGCTCTGCTGCTACCCCGTGCTCTTAAATGCGGTACCCGATGCCTGCACAGGGATGAAATATGAATTCCTGCCTCTCGGGCTGTGTTACAGTGGCCATAGCTGGGTGCTGATGTCTTGAAAACATATTTATGTTTTTTCCTCTGTAGCAGCGAAATATCAAGAACGGTTTTGCTTTTTATTTAAATCTGGGACAGTGGGAAATCAAAGTATGCACAGCTACATGTAGATGAATTCAATTATTAGGAAGTCTTGTCGGGAGAGAAATATGCAATTTATGGACAGTGAGAGGGCAGGTAAATGAGACTTCCTTAACCTAAATGAAAATAAATGAAAAACTAATAAATTTGGTGCCTATATTCATCTCCATCACTTGCTTTTTCTGCTACACCTTTTTTTCCCCCTTCTTCATCTCTCCTTGTCTTTTCAGAGAGTGCTGTGCTTCACCTGTATTTGGAAAGTGCTGCCGGGTGGTGTCTGAGGGATGCAAGAGACGTACGGATGAGGTGCTAAGGGACCTGGTTCAGTGGTGGGCTTGGCAGCGTTGGGTTAACGGTTGGACCTGATGATCTGAACGGTTTTTCCCAACCCAAACGATTCTGTGATTCTATGATGCAGCAAGACTGGGAAGGGGCAGCTGAGCGTGCGGGAGAGGGGGATCGCTCTGAGGAGGAACCTCCGTGCTGCTTGGGCCAGCCCCTGCTCCAGCCCTGGCCACGAGCAGGGCTACAGAGAAGGGTAAGAGGGTGAGACCATGCGGCTTGTCCTCTGATGCTCCCTCCAGCTCCGGAAGGTTCCTAGTGCTTTATATGGTTTGTGACCACAGGATCACAGAATGGTTTGGGTTTGAGGGGACCTTAAAGATCATCCAGTTCCAACCCCCCTGCCATGGGCAGGGACACCTTCCACTAGACCAGGTTGCTCCAAGCCTCACCCAGCCTGGCCTTGAACACTTCCAGGGATGGGGCATCCACAGCTTCCCTGGGCAACCTGTCCAGTGTCTCACCCCTCATTGTAAAAAGCCATCCCTAAGGGTGCTTTCTGCACCCCCCAGTGCTCCCCGAGGACACCGAGCAGCACCCGCAGCCTGCGCCAGGCACACGCCGCGCTGATGTGCCGAGAGCGGATCGCAGCAAAAACTTCTCGCCAATCCTCTGTGTAAGCGCAGCTCCAGTGCAGTATTTATAACCTTTACAATTTTAATTTAAACATTGACAAAACCATGTTACTTTCTAATTAAATCCTGTTTTCTCCCAGGGATTTTAATTTCAAAGTAATTTATCAGATTTAAGGATCCTCAAAACATTTTGCATGTTTTTCTTTCTAACCTGCCATGCCTGCTGATTTATTTTCCTTATTCGTTAGCGGGAGGATTCATTAGTCATTAAGCGAGTGGGTGGGTTGGGGGGGGGAGCAAAAATGGTTAGTGATTATGAAAACAAAAAATCAGAGCTGTAAGAAGCATATGTTGGGATCGTAATCCTGACACCTCTGTGTCTCAGCAAAGCAGCTAGTAATTGTACCGTAATGAAATGTTCTTGTTTGATAACCAGTTAATTAGGGAAGACAATTATTCCAAACCCCGCTGACGCCCACGAACGGCTCTGTGTCGCGCAGGCACTGAATGACAGCCGGAGCTGTTCTCGGTAACCTCTGCATCCCGGCCCACCTGCTCTAGCAGAAACGCTGCTTTCCAAGCCTGGAGAAGGATGAAAAGGACCCAAACTCTCCCCAAAAAATCAAGGAGTTCACTGATCCCAGGTGAAAAGGTCTCTGCTGCAATACTACGTGGAGTTTGGGGCATTTTGCTTCAAACAACTGATACACCATCAGGAGAGAAGAGGTGGAAAGAGCAGCAAAGATCTCCGGGAGGAGGGCTGAAGGACTGAAGGAGAGAAGACCAAGAGGAGCCACAGCCTCCAAATGTGATGCAGCAAAGCAAGAGGCGAGGAATGATCCTCTGCACCTACAGAGATAGGTAGACAGATAGGAAAAGAGGCAATAGGCTTGAATTGTAACGAGGGACACGTTGGCTAAGCAAGAGGAAAGCGGCCCTAACAGTAAGGATAATTAAGCACGGGAAGAGATTGCCCGGGGAGATGTGTAATCTCCACCACTGAAGGTTTAAGAATAGATTAGGCTCACATCCATCAAGAATGGTTTAAGTAGAGATGATCCTGACTTCAGGCAGCAGTATGGTCTGGTTGACCTCTTAAGTCTCTCCTTGCCCTCCTTTTTACGATTCTGCGACTGGGGTTCTTTTCTCCCAAACGTATAAATTTGGGTTTTATTCTGCTTGTAAATCTGGAGGGTTTTTCTTGTAACTATTATACACTTTCCTGCAAGATATCTCTTGGGATCATCATAACTTACGGCTTATTCATAAGACGACTCGAAAGTACTTCCTCCCTGCACGCTGGTGTCTGCCACACCACCCTTCTCTTTCCACACCGCCGTCGGAAATGCACATCACAAACACGACCACATCGTCCTTATTCCTCCCCAGGTCTTCCTCACCTCCTCACACCCTCCTCTGTATCCCTCCTGCTCCCTCACTGGGGAAGACCACCTCTGTCCCTCCCCCCATTAAAACCAACTAACCGAAGCTACATTTACTGCGTGAATCTCCGGACTAACGCCGATAGTCTGGATTGCTAAATCCTGAGGTCAGCAAGCTTGGAGAGGGGAGGCACCTGCCAACGATGCCCACCAGGACGCTGCTCATTAAGCAGTGCTCCCCCAGCTATGGCACCGAGCTGCTGAGCATCTGGCATCCCTGAGGACACCTACATAGAAGGCTCTGGCTATGGGAACTATATCTGCACGGTTTCAGTGCAAATTCATGTTGGGAAGCAGTCCTCTGGAGAATGAAAGGATAAACCCATAATCAAGCAGCAACTACCACTGATTAACGCATCCTGAAAGATTCCTGCTTTCCTCTGCCTTGACTTCATGATGCCACCTGGCTGTAAGTCATCAGTCACTCCATGTGAGGGCACAAGTGTGTTCCAGGATGACCACAGAAGACTCCAAATGAAACAGAGGAGGGTGACAAATCCAACCTCTAACCTCCAGTGAAAAGCACGCAACACTCCAGCCCAAACCATTCTATGATTCTGTTATTCACCTTCCACAGTTCTGATCTTGCTCTCCAAGAAGAGAAGTCACACTCTTGGAGCTGCTTTTAAGAGCCATTCTGACCCTTCACATCTTCCCTATCATTATCCTGGTCTCCACCAGACCTCTCTTGAAACCTTGCTTGGGATTGGTGCTTTCACCCTCTCCGGTACGTGGCTTTCCTTGACACCCAGAAGATGCTGAAACCTCCTTCCAGGCCAGAGCAACTGGTTGGACCCTTCCAGCCCCTCACTGGCAGGGTTTTGGGGCAGCAGCAGCAGGGAACTGCAGGCAGCGGTGGCTCCACCGCTGACAGCTCTGTACAATGCTGGACGTGGGCAATGCTGCAGGCGGTTCCCATGGGATCTCTGTGATGGCTCTGCCATAATAC